TTCATTTGTGTAGCTTTTGTTTACGGTATCATGGTATAATATGGTTCTGAATTTGTTATTATCCCAGATAACTTAAACAAAATGGAAAGTTAATTCTGATATCAGCAGTTTTTCTATTGCAATACAATATTGTGTCGTGTTTAGACGTATGTTTACAGTTCATCAACCAACTTTACTACATTGTTACATTTAAATGAAAGATCGATAGATTGTTAAACAAAACATATCATAAAATGTACAAACAATTCGATCAATAAAACACGTCATCATTTTGAGCGTTTTTATTACACTATACTTCCTTGGTATGTATTCCGTGTATTTCATACGTGTACATGTACGTCCCGGTGTTATCATTACATGTCAATCCGTGCAAAATGATGAAACATCTTTAAGATCTATCTAACACAGCCTGTGTTGTCTAAATTGTCATCTTAAACGTTTCTGTAGACGGATATTATCTAAATATATTGTCTTGCCGTATAAACGCCATGTGACTTATATCATCGTTATTTCAAAATCTGATGTACTTTTGTAGGACTGAAGGATTCAACACTGTTTCTTCTTTTCTGTACGACACCTACGTCAACATATCAGAAATATGACAATTTTATTTTACATCTCGGCTTTTATACTTTGATAACAAACCAATTGATAAATACTAGTATATAATATTACAGTGTTCATTTATCACGGCAGTTCTCGTCCTGATTCATTGGTATAGTCACTGTATCATACCATACCTGGGAATTTACCGACACAGATATATAAATACAGATCTGACTGACACAAACTTTGTGTTTTTTCCCCTTAACTCTCCATTTACCATCACAAGATAGCAACATCGTGACGTCATCCCTCGTACCTCATGAGATGCTTTTCTATTAAAGTCACCACTCTGATGCAATGCAAATCACGTGTCTCAAATTATAGCTGAGATTCTTTAACACATGTAGTCTATACTGATTCCGCGTTGTTTTCGAACAGGTGTGTAAATGAATGTAGAATTATGGTCTATACACTCCGCAGAAAAATTCTGCTTTTCCCAATGTAATAGATATAGTAATTAGCAGAAAACCCGTCACAAGCAACCTGAGAGGGACTGTTGTGATTTGTCACGTGTTACTGAAATTGACTTTGGTTTCACAGTAATCTGTAAACAACCAACATAATAGTCCTGACGTGATCATACAAACATTTCAATATTACCGTTATATTTTCCACATTATTCTATGTTCTGTTTCTGTCTTTCCGATGACATCATCACCAGTTCACAGGTATTCATCCCTCATTAGATGTTCCCGAAGGAAGACAAGATTCACCAAGTCTTCCTCACTTCCCAATGTTTTGTAGCAGGCAACGGTTCGTTCTAGTACCCTATCATACATCTAACAGCTCATTTTATTACCATCGATGCAGATTTAAATTGTTATCACTGACAGAGATTTCACAACGACGAAAAAAAATCAGGATTTCATTATCTGCAGGTATGGTATCATAAATTATCGACAGAAGTTACTAACCATCAAAGACATTTTCAAGTGATCGACAGATTTATCCCAAACTACAGTTCGGGCCGGACACTGTAAAACAACTATGTGTTGTGATTCATGATTTCCGCATCATTACAAATTCGCGGCTATTAGCTTTCCTGAGGCAGATTTCCGTATGCTTATACTATATACGCGGCGATAGACGTTCGTGACTTTGTTTGAATTAAGAAATAAAATTACACGAAAGAAATCGGTCTAAAGTAAATCTGAAAAGTCCCCACCCCCATTTTTCTCACGTACTGACAGCTCTTCATATAAATCGAATGCATTAATTATAATATTGCGGACAGGTAAATATATAATCATACCGAATCTAAAATGGCGTTACGTATCTACACGTTAGACTTCGAGTATGATAAATGCTGTACATTGTCATAGAAACAAGGATTGACTATCGCGGGTGTTGCTACCATTAATTATTCAAAGTAAGGTTGAAACTATGGTCATAAAAACAATGAAATACCAATCAAAAGGCAAGAATGCGCCTCCCACTTCCAAATTCGGTACCGTGTGTTTGATCAAGCATTGCTGGTTTCTTCAAGGCTCGCCAAGGAAGTTGTTTCCCATAATTTACAGCATGGACAATGAACTTCCTGTTTGAGTCCTGGAGTCGTCGTCGTAAAACTGCGCATCTAAGGAATATTTCCTTCCGGGTCAGGTTTACACTATTTGAAGGTAATTCCTTCACGCCTTTTTCACGATTAAAAACTCTTCCCTTTTTAAATTTATCCTCAATTTCTTTTGTACGTGTTTGAGAGATATGTGTTTTGTCTCCACCATCACCAGTTTTGCCATTTGATGGTGAAACTAAATCGACTTTCTGTATCCGGTTGATGTCACTGACATTTCGGAACATGAAGTGATAAGATCGCATCCTCTGGCAGGGGTACAAGGGACATGAGTGTCTGTGGAGACATACACTTTCTGTTGTTGGAGGATAGACTTCCAGCAAGCTGTTGTAGTATTGTCTGGCACGTTCCTCGTCTGTAATGTCTGTCACAAGCTTCTTAAAATCATTATTCTCATAATATTTGGCCAAGTTAGACAAGTTGGCACGGCTTAATGCCAACTCCTCCTTCATTCTCTCCGTCTTGTGTGCCATATCCCGTAAGAATAAGTCCTTTTGATTGTCAAGTCGGCACAGTGTGTCTTGAACAGTCTGCTGACAATGTCTCCTGTGTAACATCTGGTGACGTCTTGACACAGTAGTGCCTACAACTTTGTCCTGTTTTCTTGTGGGCATGGCACCAAGGTTAAAAAGTGTCCGTTTTCATGTACAGACGTCGGTATAAAACCACTAGGACGTAGCTCCTCTGGAGTCACCGATGGAATTCAATCTAGTGACTGTGCTGCTGACGCTGATAGTAAGTCGGGTATTAACAACCGTTAGCTCATATCAGACTAATCTAATAAGTTGAATGTATACAGAAACGACAAAATATTGCCGCGAATCAATTTCCTGTTCTTTATCCTTCCTTGGATCAATGTGTAGGTAGGCCTTCTACATACCCCGGATAGTTTCAGCGCTGATCAATGGCCTCCAATTGATAACTTATAAACCCACTCAACATATACTACAAATAAAACCACGTTCTTAAGACAAAAATACAACATTTTATAATCGATACGTTTTATTTACCTGTCAATATTTACCCATTGTTGTGTTTGTTTCAGTCTCCGTGTACAGGATACGCACATTTGATAAAATCAATGGAACGGTGTTTTGTAATGGTAGGACGTTGGAAAAAGGCACAAGTGACACTGTATATTGTTTAAAACGTGACATTCCCCATAAAGGTCTGGTCGTCACTACTTTATATGGGAGTTCTATGTCCTACAAGGTACAATGAAATTTTGTTTGACAACCGATGTTTCATCGATCTAAATGTGCAAATTCTATTAAAAACTGGATGCATACATATTGATACCACAACACTGACAGGGCGCATGTTAAAACTTCTTAACCGTATAGAAAACAATTCAACGAAAATACGCGTTCATATCAGGCCCCATATCAGTCCCTCTATATCCAAGCGAGACCTCGAGATCCATATACCAGTCCCTCTTTATCAAACGTAGCCCCTCCATATCAAACCGAGATCCTTTTATCAGCTCCGGTATATCAAACAGGACCCTTCTACATGTATATACAACCGAGATCCCTATATCGGCCTCCTCATATCAAACCGAGACACCATCTGAGTTTCTTCATATGAAATCGAGAAACTGTCTCAGCTCCTACATATCAAACCACGGTACCATATCAGCTCCACTATATTAGACGTATTAAACCGAGACACTATCTCAGCTCCACTTTATCAGACTTATCAAACCGAGACACCATCTGAGCTTCTCCATATGAAATCAAGAAACTGTCTCAGCTCCTCTATATCATACCGAGGTACCATCTCAGCTCCTCTACATCAAACCGAGACACCAGCTCAGTTCCTCTATGTCAAGGCACCATCTCAACTCCTCCATATCAAACATATCAAGCCGAGACACCATCTCAGCGCCTCCATATCATACCGAGAAACTGTCTCAGCTCCGCCATACCAAGCCGAGAAAGGAGCGACAACCAACTTCAAAGGCCAGTGTTATGCACGGCGTTGTGGAACAACGACATTTGTTTGATGTACGTACAATGATCAAAACAAGTCTTCTTGTTTTATTCACATAGTATTGTACTTGAAACCTTCAATTTTGGTATGAAATGTTCCAGGGGTGCAGCGATAGCACATTTCTGAGTCCCATGTTACAATACCATGACTAAGGTAACTCTTCTGCATAGTTTCTGACAGGCCATTGATGTATGGGATTAACTTCTGTTCTCTCATTTTCTTTTACTTGATGTTATGTTATAACACATATGATATGTGATATATACGTCTCTGGTCTTGGAAAGGTTCGGAGAAGAAGCGCAAGAAAGAAGAACGGTTGCGAGAGTGCTGTTTTTTTTTTACGGAGATTTAACGTTCTCGCAACAGCCTTGGAGCAGGGTTACATGTGTTTGGACAGGTGTCATGAGGACACCAAGAGGCAAATTGGAAAGAAATTAAAGAAAGAAATAGCTGACAGGAAACGAAGGAAAATGGGAACTGCTAATCTATTCCGATCTTTTCACCGTCCCTTTAATAAAAAGCATTGAGGCATCCAAATGGCTGAATGCGTAAATATTGAACTACCGTATATTTTCAAATTCGTCTTGTACGCGTCAATGCTCCCTTGGGTCGTATATTCAATACTGCGGACTGACATTCCATAATCTAACAACAACAAAAATGAAATACTGAAGTAACACAAAAACGATCGCATTACCATTTGATTTTTTTTGGTCGATCGCTTGCTAGAGTTGTCTAACTTATGCTTGCTCTTTAATAAGAAGTCAGAAACATTTAAACTTCCGGTAATATTTAAAGATGAAGTGAGAACACGTGCTATTGTTTATATTCGAAAAACGTGTTTATACCAAGTATTAGCAATTTTTTAAGCTTCATATTCTTCTGAGAGGCTCACAGACGTCCAAAAATGGCTGAGTTCGTCCAACATAACATTGAGGGAATGATTCCCGAGTTAGAGCAGATGGAACGAGTGGGTCTGTTTACTGGACCAGAGACGAGGTGCGTAACGTAGACAGATCGCCATGAGAGATCAGCTTTCGATATGTGATAATGATCGCTATATGATTTAACTAATATGCCAACGTAACTTACCAAAAAGATACTACAGGAAAATTTCATTGTCATGTATTACAAGCTTACGACACCGATTGAATCTCCAATGATTTTTGGGACTCTGATATTTGAGTCGTGGAGTCAAAATACTATCAGCACTTTAGCTCAATTATAACATTGATTATCACTAGTGTCTTTCTAGTGTTTTCTCTGAGATAGGATAATTGGGATATTAAACTTGTTTTATTTTGGCATGATTTATGATTGTTTTGGTACAGCAAACACTATATACTTTAGAAAACTGTTACTTTTGCTTTCAGGCAAATACTAAAGAAAAGGAAAGGCTTTGAATACAAACTACAAAGGAAAACTAAAAAGAAAGATGACATATTACAATACATTCAGGTAATTGGTATAAATGTCCCTTAATTTATGTGGCATTTCCAGACTCTGATATTCTAATTATGTTGTTAAAAACTGCAGATCTGCCACTACCCCACACTTTCATCAATTAAATTATCTTGTGTTGCAGTAGTTTTCTTTATATAGATACTGTCAGATTCTGTCCTCAAAGTTGCTTTCAGAAAATCTCATAAAATTTAGATCTCTTGTACATCTTTTTGATACTTATATTTTTCTTTGTCCATGTAGCACCATTGTCATGGTGTACAGTAACAATTGCATGATAATGTGTGATTTTTTTTTCAGTATGAAACAAATGTTCTGGCTTTGCTGAAGAAAAGACGACAGGTTTGTTTACTATTTTTATTTTTTACTTTGTGTTTTATATATTTTCGCTTTACTCACACCAGTATTGAACAAACATGTGGATTCTCTTTTGAAGTTGTTGATATGATACTGTTCATGAATACTTGAATCGAAGCTCACTGCATTAAATTTCAGTATGAAATAACCTCAATAGATACATGTATATATTTTAATTTTGTATTTGTTGTAATATGTTGTCAATATTTCCTTAACATTATCATATATCTTACATTGATTTTTCACTGGTTTTTGTTCAGTTGATTCATTTTTTTCTTTCAATTACAGAATATCGGGTATACATTTAAAAAGTTGGAGATTGATAATGCCATATCCCAAAGAATACATAAGTTGTTCAGGGTAAGTTCCAGGGACAAATCCAGAACAATCATCCAATGATTACTTAAAGCTACATAATGCTCACTTTTCATATTATGTTACAATGTATAGATTCACACTCACTCGGGTGTTATTTGTATTTTCTGCTTTCCTTTCCTGCATTTGTGTATTTGATGTCATAGATAAACACCAAGGAAGATATAAGGTACAATTCTCAACAGGAAAAGTTCAACAAGTTGATAGTATGATGTTTATAAGGTATTAAACATTAGTTTTATTGTTGTCACTCATATTTCTGTTATACATATGAATATCTTGTTTTTTCTCCATATTTTACAGTTGGCTACATACAGGTTTCAGGTAGGTAAAGTTTGAAGATCTCATATCAATATATTAGGAATGATGTTTATAAATCATATGAAAATCACAGTGGTACAAGACAAACTATATGGTGGTCAATAGGTAATGATGCATTATAAGACAAGGGAAGCAACTCCTATCTACCAGAATTTGATTTTGTTTAATTATGATATTTGGACTTAAGAACTTATCTGATTCAGGGTTTTCCATAATTTTGTCAGTAGTAGGCTGTGTAGTGAAAGTAGGAGGCTGTCCTGCCGTGTACGTGTAATCGTGTACGGAACATTATTACGGAACTGGATTGGTGTAGACAGCCAAATGATTAAAGTAGCCGGTCAAATTGGCCGGCGACCAGCTCATATGGAAAACCCTGCTGATTATAGAAATTTTTATTTCTACTAAAATACATGGAAAATTACATAGGTGTATTACTTTCATTTAGGCTATATATTTGTAAATTTTTGTTGAGATTGAATTTCATCACCCCATCAGATACAGGCCAGAAGTCCATTTCATTTTCAATAAGGCCAGGAACTGATGAGTATCAGAAATACAATCTGTACATATAATTACAATATTTAAAAATGTAGACTTGGGTTATGTATACATTTGATTATTTAATAAAAACTATATAGGGGTGCTGCTTCCATACTGAAATAAATTAATGTTATGATAACTAATATGATCTCTTATTTGTGATAGTATTAATGATAGATATCATTTGGTAGTTTGAATGCTTCATGTGTCTTTTAATGAATCTTTTGAAGTTTATTTTAAATGTAAATTTATTCATAGTTTGTTTTTACAGAGGACCTCAGCTTTGTCAATAAATAATGTTGGTTACGATTTAGTTTCCTTTTGAAGAACTGACATCACACCTTGAGCCTACAATAAACAGAATTGTGTTTTTCTCTCTTTTTTAGGATGATGTAAAGCTATGGTTGTCCCATGTTCAATTTTCCAAAACAAGGGTAAGGCTAAAGTTGAAGTATTGATTGACAAAAAAAGTATAAAAAAGGGAGGTAATAGCTACATTGATATAACCAATGTTATTATAATTCAAAACAAGTGATATATTAGTGTATTCAGTTATGATGTGTAGAAGATCTCATATACACTGTTTCTGTTTAATATATACACGGTAAGTCTATATGATATAGACACTGTATGTCTATTTAATATTTACACCATGTATTTGTATGATAAATGCACTGTGTTTTTAGAAGGTACACTCTCTAAGCCTGTGTAATATATAGATTGTATGTCTATATATTATATATGCTGTATATCTGTACAATAAATACACCATATGTCTATATAATATATACATTGTATACCAATAATACACCATATGTCTATATAATATATATATTGTATATCAATAATACACCATATGTCTATATAATATATACATTGTATATCAATAATACACCATATGTCTATATAATATATACATTGTATATCAATAATACACCATATGTCTATATAATATATACATTGTATATCAATAATACACCATATGTCTATATAATATATACATTGTATATCAATAATACACCATATGTCTATATAATATATACATTGTATATCAATAATACACCATATGTCTATATAGTATATACATTGTATATCAATAATACACCATATGTCTATATAATATATATATTGTATATCAATAATACACCATATGTCTATATAATATATATATTGTATATCAATAATACACCATATGTCTATATAATATATATATTGTATATCAATAATACACCATATGTCTATATAATATATATATTGTATATCAATAATACACCATATGTCTATGTGATATATATATTGTATATCAATAATACACCATATGTCTATATAATATATATATTGTATATCAATAATACACTGTATATCTATATAATATATACATTGTTGTATTACTGTAAGATGTTCTTCATATTTTGCAGAAAGAGAAAACAACAATCAGTAAGCTGTTCACTCAAATGTTACAAGTCCACAACAGGAAACCAGGTAAAGTGAAGAGGTGGTCACTCAGCTGTATAAGTTAGCAAAAATGAGTGAATGATGAGTTGTAGTGTTGCAGTCAGCTGTTTAAGTGAGTGAGTTGTTGGATAGGAATGGTCAGTATTATGTAAGATATTTTATGTCTTCTTTTTGGCCCCTTTCATATTTGGCATGTATGTTCCTTGTGACAGGATCTTTCCAATAGTACTACTTTTTTTTTGACCATATGACCTTGACTGTGACCTTTGATTTTCATTTGAAAAAAATTTTAACATTAGCCATTATTATAACATCATAAGAGGTAGGGCTTTAATTTTTAGCATGTGTGTTCCATGTGACAAGACCTTTCTGGTGGTACCAACACTTTTGACCATGTGACCTTGATCATGACCTTAGACGTTTATTTGAAAAATTTTAACGATGGCCATAACTAACGTTATTTGAACCAACATTATTTGTCATATATATAAATGACCTTCCCAATACTATACAGTCCAAAGCTTACCTTTTTGCGGATGACATCAAAGTATTTAAATGTATATAGGTAAGTGAGGATGCATGAATACTTCAAGATGGCTTGGATGTCAGAGTTTCATAAACACATCTTGCTTTGATGGATGTATCAGGAATGACTGGGTAGAATTCAGCAACAGAAGATGATAATATGTCTGTCTCTCAGTATTTATGTTTTCCACCACATGAAGACTGCTGCAGGCTGTTCCTGTGTTACAGAGTGATTAATAGAAGTTTATTAAACATTGTTGTAATCACTGGTGTATATGACTTGTTACTTGTAGACTTGTGGATTGGTGCAGCCAAGTGGGAGTTTGAAGAAAACATGAATCATGAGAATGCCCGTCATATGCTCCAGAAGGGTATTAGATTCAACCCATCCTCCAAACAGCTCTGGCTAGAGGTATGTCCATCTATCAATCGTATCATTCTATTGTCCTGATAAATCAATTAAAACAGTCATATAGTTTGTCCAGTGATTTATTAATGACACATTTATAGTACAACATTTCAATCTTTCAAAAATAAGTCCATTAATATTTCGTTCTTACAACACCACAGGATAATGTCACGTTCAGTATAAATCATCTCCTTGATCACTAATATTGTTTTCTTTCTTTTTTTTGTAGTATTACCGAATGGAACTTTTGTTTGCAGAAAAGGTAAACAATCTGTTGACAGTCGAGATTTTCTCACTGTGTCTTTATTCATCATCTTTGAATATCTTGATGAATTACAGTATCCTTCATATCTTTTTCATTCTCTGCATTTTCACGGAGCCATTTGTCAATATAAATACTGTATCGGATAGAATTTGATGTACTTCTGTAATGATCAGTTCAGACACTTAAACCAAAAAATATTTACAGACTTTGTTATATTCTATACTACACAACTTCAGTTCTTCAACATGTGTCGTTAATCTGCAGCTAGTTTTTGCGTTGCCTAGGTCTGACCCTATGTATTTGCCTATAGCTGTCATAGGTATTATGTCTCTTAAATCATTTCAGTTTGATTTTACAGTTAATTTTGGATGGAAGGTTTGACTAACAACAACATATTAAAGTAGGATTTAAAAGGACAGACTTGAGATTCAATTAAAAACTGGCGATTATCACAATGTTCCTTTGGCAGGTGACTGGTGTAAATTATAGTGAATTCTGTTACTTGTTGGTTTATAGTTACTTTTCTAATTTCCAGCTCAGGAAAAGAAAACAGATTGTGGAGAGTGAGTTACCTGATGTAAGTATGTTTGATTTAGGCCAGCCTTCCCTATTTGTGATATTCTGATTTATCAAAGCTGATTAATTATGGTGAATGCATAAAATTTTATGTGGATACATATTTGAGAGAAAAAAGTTGAGTTTGACTGTGAACCTGGTAATGGTGCAGCAAGGGATTTACAGAGTTATGTATGGGGAGAACTTGGCATTTTCCATGATGGAACGCTATTTTTACTTGCCTTCCAAAGTGACAAGGATGTCAAGTTCTTTTGTAGAGAGATGGCATCACTAATAAATGTAACTGTGAGATATATTTAATCTTATCATCCACAAGCCTAACAGATGATACCCACTTAATATCATTAATGTAGAACAGAAGTATTCCACTTCTAATGTATATCGAAAGGAAATATGTGTTTTGCCATTGTCTCGAAGTCTTATAGCTTGATGCTGATCCAATTTCAGGAGGAGGATGTGGATCAGGATGCAGTGCTGGCAGGAAGTGTGGCAGCTGTAGTTTACAAGCAAGCAATGCAGGAGTTTCCAGGTAAATTATGGCTATTGACAATTACTTACACAAAGTCCTACAACTGGCACTGCCATTGTCAGAATATGCCACATAGTTTTGCTGTATTTGTCAGTGACAGAAAACAGCTGTATTTTTAGCATTAATTTACCAGATTCATTTTCTAAATTACTTACATTTAAGTTGGGAAAACCATTTGAAATACTGGTAATGCAATTGGTGTATTAAACAAGTTTAATTTTTTAAGATTTTGGTTATATTTGTATGAAACCATATTTTTTTATGTATTTGTCTTTTACATGAAATGAAAAAATTATATTGTCTTTTACAGGTACATGTAGCGTAAAATTTGCATGGTCATTTACAGGTGATTTAAAATTTTGAAATGATTTTTACAGGTCATATAAAAATATATAATTTGCATTGTCTTTTACAGATGATGTAATATTTGCATTGTCCTTCCTACCAATTTGCCAGCTGTTTGATTTTGCCAAAAATCAGGAGAAAGATATATTCTCTGAGTAAGTTTATATAAGATTGTAAATATATTTATCCTGTTATTTGCAATAACATCACTTTATCCAACAGTACATTATTTCCCTGATAAATCTAATTAATAGATAAAGTAATGTTAATACAAATATTGTACATTATCTTTGATAAATCAAATCTGGTGTCTTTAGTGTATTGGTTACATTGTTTTTTATCTCCGACTTTTTCTCTGCAATAAATTTAGGTTTTAAGATCTTGTATAAAATGTCAGGTGTACTTAGGACAAATTGAAAGAGTTAAGGGGGTTATTGTTACAGGTTAAGAGTTAGTCCAAATATCTTAGTGGATCATGAAATATATCTCTTCCTTATTTTTTAAATGTAAAGATTATTCTCTCTCCAGTATACAGAAATGTTTCCCAGACAGACCAGAGACCTTTGATGCAATAGCAAGACAACATATCCACACAGCATCCACAATTGACAACATGGAGCTTAAAGGTACGTACTGTATAACAGACAGTTGTGGTATGTTAAGATTTGGTTAACAGGGAAACGTGATTGAGTTTTACAAGGCAGGATAACAACTGCTGGCCACATTGTTCAGTTGTTTGTCGTCTCACTGTGGTCTCCTTTCACAGTTTCATTTGGCCTGGGAGTCTTTGAATTGTTCCTATCTCAATTTAGTTAGAGTTGAGAAACATAGACATGCACTTAGAAATCAGCATCATATATTATAGTAATGAGATCACACAACATCACGTGTGCGATGTGTGCACAATGCATGAATGATAGGAAAACTGGATGTAATTTGTTATCGCACATCTGTGCGCACATTGTACAGTTCTATCACACAGATGTGCAATTCTTTCATGGTTGATATAAATTCAGAAAAGACTAAAATATACATGTGGGATAGGGTTTATTTATTTGCTACATATATAAGAGTAACAATAGGTATATTTCCAAATGAATTAATTTATTTAAAGATCAGACACATGTTGATATATTATGTACAGACTGTATAGTTATAGGCACTTTTGATTAAGAGTGTTTTGTTTACAACGCGCTACATGTGACCAGCCTTTGTGTGAAGACACTCATTATATATACATTATGAAAACATTAAAATGGACATCCCATTTTGTATCCACAATAAATCATCTAAAATCTTGTATCAACAAAAATGAAATTTTGTTTACATTACGTCTGTGCTACTCTCATTTTTCTATCATTGTAAGGAAAAATGTATATATATACTGATGTAAATTGTGTCGTGTTTGCTACACTGACGACCTAACTGGTATGGACCTGTCATATATTTATCTCTTTGCAAAGTTTATTTGTTGCCAAGTGCACACTTCTCACCACTTGCTGAAACGTGAAACTATACACTAGACAGACTTATTACTGCAGGGTCTAGTTGTATTTCGATAGATGTCATATTAAAAATGACCCTTATAATCACAGATCAACACTAATATGGCTTTTGTCGCTATTAAGTCATAACTACATGAGTTTTCTGTTTAAGGTACAAAATGCATAATAATGGTTAAATCATTCTAAGTATGACAAATACATTTTTATAAGATAATCATATTTCTGAAATTGTGCAGTTTATTGGACTGAAAATTGAAGAGTGTTACACTGTTGATTGAATAAGATGACTGTCGGTGCTGGTGTATTGAGATGATTTTTGTTTCAGAAAAGGAAATTCAGAAATGCTATGATGTGTACCAAGAGGCTGTTACCAAAATGCCAGGAGGTAAGTATTCTATGCATATTTCATTTTCTTCTATTTCAGATGTTACAAATGTCATTTCTAGTTTGATTTAGAATCTGTCCACTAAAATGTTAGTAACTGTTGTTGGAGTTATCTCCCCTCTGTTGTTCTCCACTCAGTTATACACTGACTATAGCTTTGAAGTCAGTGGAGCCCCCTCTTCGCACTGTTGTTATCTAATCTTATCAACCTGTGCCTCATTTACCACTATGTGGGCTTAGTAACAAATGACCTGACCAGAGCAAGTTTGTCTGCCAGTGAGAAGTGAATCTCACTTTCATAACAAATATGATACTAACAAATCAAACCTTTGTATCACAAAACTTACCTGAGTCCATCGGAAAATTTTGCCATATAAATTAACACAATCAATATTTATCCTACAACTGGCACTGCCATTGATGGAATACACTTGCCAGATATATTTTTGCTGTATTCTACAATGGCAGAAAACAGCAATATTTTAGCATGTGCATTAATTTGACAGAATTACTTTCTGAATATATTCAAATATTATGTTTAGAATTATACATAGTTGTTGAAATAAGTGATTTTACATGTTGTAATGAACAAGTTTATTTATGAAAATTCATAAAATTGCTGTTAATCTGATAACGTTTGGGACTTAATATTCCGGCAGAGCAAAATTCAGTGTAACATCATTCTCAGGTAAACACAGATTGAACAACAAAACTGTTTAATTTTCAAAAGTCTGATTTTCAATTGATATTGCAGGATAAAAAGACTACATGTTCAGTGCTGTATTGTTTACATAAGCATTTATTTATTCCTCTGTATAATACATCTCTGGGCACAACAGATGGCTTGTTGATTAATAACTAATTAAGTTACAGAACATGCCTTCCAGGAATTACCAGACATCATGATTAAGACTATTTGGTGTTCTCTAGAGGAATCACATTCTTACTATACTTCTGGTCGATGATGTGACGAATGTTGAGGTTGTCTTGAAATAGACATGTTTACTCAGGCAAATATTTTTAAATGATAAAGCAAGGTTAATATGCAATCACAGTATATATTGTAATGCTCATAACACCATTTAAGATTACTGGAGTACATGTGTTATCTACTACTTAGACATCTATACCCTGTACCAGACATAATGTCTGATGTTAAAAATAGATTGTTACCAGTTATCATTCACTCACAATACAATCACAGAACTTTCTGGTATATGTAACAGAGGCCATTTTTCATCTCAATGCCTCCGCTAGGAATTGAACCCGGGACCCCTGGCTTACTAGTCTGACGCTCAACCAATTAAGCTAAAGAGAAGTTCTCTCTAGCCGAGTGGTATATTGCGGCTAGTATTTTACCAGGGTTACATATATAGTTGGGGAATGTTTACAGGATGATCCAAGATGTTTACAGGATGTTCAAATATGATTACAGGATGATCCAATATGATTACAGGATAATCCAATATGATTACAGGATGATCCAAGATCATTACAGGATGATCCAATATGATTACAGGATGATCCAAGATGATTACAGGATGTTCAAATATGATTACAGGATGATCCAATATGATTACAGGATGATCCAACATGATTACAGGATGATCCAATATGATTACAGGATGATCCAACATGATTACAGGATGATCCAATATGATTACAGGATGATCCAATATGATTACAGGATAATCCAATATGATTACAGGATGATCCAAGATCATTACAGGATGATCCAATATGATTACAGGATGATCCAAGATGATTACAGGATGTTCAAATATGATTACAGGATGATCCAATATGATTACAGGATGATCCAACATGATTACAGGATGATCCAATATGATTACAGGATGATCCAACATGATTACAGGATGATCCAATATGATTACAGGATGATCCAATATGATTACAGGATGATCCAACATGATTATAGGATGATCCAATATGATTACAGGATGATCCAACATGATTACAGGATGATCCAATATGATTACAGGATGATCCAATATGATAACAGGATGATCCAATAAGATAACAGGATGTTCATATATGATTACAGGATGATCCAACATGATTACAGGATGATCCAATATGATTACAGGATGATCCAATATGATAACAGGATGATCCAATATGATAACAGGATGTTCATATATGATTACAGGATGTTCAAATATGATTACAAAATGTTCAGATATGATTACAAGATGATCCAATATGATTACAGGATGATCCAAGATGATTACAGGATGTTCAGATATGATTACAGAATGTTCATATATGATTACAAGATGCTCAAATAGGATTACAGGATGTTGCAGTTGTTAACTTTTGACAACATGATCATGTCACAAAGATCCTTAAGCTATAGTACTTTTATACTGACTGATGAGTAAGCTTTTAAGTGATATAAGATAATGATCTCAGTGTAAAGGATATAGGCTTGTAAGTGACTGCTATAAGAACATACAATTATAAAAATGTTCTTTGTGAACATTTCACAAAAGTGCCGTCCTTGGTGAGTGAACATGTAAGAAATGATATCTGACAATTTTGAAACAATCAATGAGGGTATCCACTTTTGTGCCAGAGGTTATATTAAATCTTTTCCTGCTTCATCTAAGGTTGAACCTGACACTTCTAGTTTATCTATTCGTTGAACTGAATTTTCCCCCAGCTTTGTTGGTAAAATATTCAACTTCAAGTAAAGTTTTCAAGATGTTACAGCAGTATCCAAAGTATCTTGTGACTATTTCCCAGGTCCCTACAGGTGAGCCAAGATAACAGATTATAGACATCGCTTCCTCTAGAAGTTGAATAAAGAACCTCCGATGTGCTAGGCTGAAGCTCTGCTAGAAGTTCACCCTACTTAAGTTGCTAGGAGTTCTTTACTCTATACAGACGTACATGTTTTAGAACCCTGCAGTTTTCCATTTTAAGTGACCACTTTATACAGATGTACATGTTTTAGAACCCTGCAGTTTTCCATTTTAAGTGACCACTTTATACAGACGTACATGTTTTAGAACCCTGCAGTTTTCCATTTTAAGTGACCACTTTATACAGACGTACATGTTTTAGAACCCTGCAGTTTTCCGTTTAAGTGACGTATATTGGGGTACTTATCTTGTGCTCTGTAACAAGTACACTACTCAAGGACTGAAAATGGGTTTGTTTTACTGTTTGATATGGTAAGTTATATAAGTTCTTAAGAGTGATATCAACAAAACAAGTACATGTTTAACTGAAGGAAATCAACATTAGATCCCTGAAATGAAATCTTCAACATTGACAAATGTATTCATACTTCTGGAAAGAAACATAACTGGAAACTTATCAACTATTGGAAAATAACTACTTTACAGATAACCGTACCATGTGTTTGAAGTGACCCTCATACACCAAGGTGTTTAAGCAGACCCTCCTAGACCAAGGTGTTTAAACAGACCCTCATACACCAAGGTGTTTAAGCAGACCCTCCTAGACCAAGGTGTTTAAACAGACCCTCCTAAACCAAGGTGTTTAAACAGACCCTCCTAGACCAAGGTGTTCAAACAGACCCTCCTAGACCAAGGTGTTTAAACAGACCCTCCTAGACCAAGGTGTTTAAACAGACCCTCCTAGACCAAGGTGTTTGAACAGACCCTCCTAGACCAAGGTGTTTAAACAGACCTTCCTAGACCAAGGTGTATGAACAGACCCTCCTAGACCAAGGTGTATGAACAGAACCTCCTAGACCAAGGTGTATGAACAGACCCTCCTATGCCAAGGTGTTTAAACAGACCCTCCTAGACCAAGGTGTATGAACAGAACCTCCGAGACCAAGGTGTATGAACAGACCCTCCTAGACCAAGGTGTTTGAATGAAGTTTCCTGTTCCATGGTGTCTGGACAGATTCTTCATTACCAATAGGTCTGAATAGATGCTTCTAGACCAAGGTGTTTTAAAGGACCTTCCTCAACCAAGGTGTATGAACAGACCCTCATACACAAAGGTGTATGAACAGACCCTCATACAAAAAGGTGTTTGAACAGACCCTCACACACCAAGGTGTTTGATCAGAACCTCATTTAACGCCAAGGTGTTTGAACAGAAGCTCCTTTAACACCAAGGTGTATGAACAGACCCTCATACACAAAGGTGTTTAAAACAATTATCTTACACCAAGGTATCAGAACAGGTGTCTGAAGACATTCCCCTAAACCAAAGTGTCTGGACAGAACCTCCTAGATCAAGATGTCTGAAGAGATCCTTCTAAACCAAAGTGTCTGGACAGAACCTCCTAGATCAAGATGTCTGATGAGATCCTCCTAAACCAAAGTGTCTGGACAGAGCATAGATCAGGGTATCTGAAGACATCCCCCTAAACCAAAGTGTCTGGACAGAGCTTCTGAGATCAAGGTGCCTGAAGAGATCCTTCTAAACCAAAGTGTCTGGACAGAGCTTCTGAGATCAAGGTGCCTGAAGAGATCCTTCTAAACCAAAGTGTCTGGACGGCACTTTGATCAAGGTATCTGAAGAGTCCTCGTAAACCCAAAGTGTATGGACAGAACTTCCTAGATCAAGATGACTGATGAGATCCTCCTAAACCAAGGTGTCTGGACAGAACATAGATCAAGGTGTCAGGACAGAGCCTCTAAATCAAGGTGTCTGGACAGAACCTCCAAGATCAAGGTGTCAGGACAGAGCCTCTAAATCAAGGTGTCTGGACAGAACCTCCTAGATCAAGGTGTCAGGACAGAGCCTCTAAATCAAGGTGTCTGGACAGAACATAGATCAAGGTGTCTGGACAGAACCTCCTAGATCAAGATGTCTGATGAGATCCTTCTAAACCAAAGTGTCTGGACGGAACTTTGATCAAGGTATCTGAAGAGTCCTCGTAAACCCAAAGTGTCTGGACAGAACCTCCTAGATCAAGGTGTCTGGACAGAACCTCCTAGATCAAGATGTCTGATGAGATCCTTCTAAACCAAAGTGTCTGGACAGAACCTCCTA